TAATGAATTAGAAGAGACAAAGATTCATCTTATTGGAGGGTTTCAAAGCATATTACAGATTCCTTTGAAAAAAGAATTACAACTGTTATCAGATTACTGGAATTTCAAATGTACTTTACATATATCACAATTGCAAAGTAAGTGAAATATTTTTGTTACTAAGTTATACCTTCTACTATAAACATTAATATTTTGTATAATAAAATAAAGGTAAATATATTTTTTGTAATTAAAAATATTTTCTTTCCTTTTGCATTTTAGATGATTTTTTCAGTCTTCATGGTTTAAATGTAAAATCTGGAAGAATAGATAAAGAATCTGTTTGTGAAACACTTGAAAATCACATGACCAATGCTACATTAATCTTAATATGTGGTACTCGCCAATTTAATAGTTCTGTGGAACAGTGGGCAAGAAACATGAATTACACACATATACACGTATTCGAATAACTTAATCGAAAAAATATCACGTTAAATAATATCTAGTTTTCATAATTATATTGTATTATTTGATACAACATGAAATGCTTTCTTGGCAGTTAGGACATGTACCATGTATATAATCAAATACAACATGATTGCCAGCAACTGCTTGTAACCACTAAAAAATAAAAGAAATATTTTTAAGTACTATGAAAATTTAAAATATCATAATTAATGTAGAAGTTATCTAACATTTTATAAACATACTTGTAATAGACAAGATGTATGAAAATGTCTTCTACATTTCTCATTATTGCAAATTTTTTCAGGTAAAGTCTCATTGTCTAATTTCATAGAAAAGCAAATACAGCATTCTTCATCAGTAACAATAGCACCATTATTTTCTATATATTTTTCCTTCTCCTTTTTAGGAAATATGTCTCTGTTTAATAACATCAGTAAATTATCTATAATATCACATTTTGGATTCCAATTCTAGAAAAGAACCACAGTATTATATATACATATACTGTAATATTATAATAAAGTAGAAACATTAACATATTTTAAATATTACATACATGTAAGTTCTTAGAAACAATGTTTCTCATTGATTCAACTTCAATATCACTACCCATAAATTTAATTTCCGGTAAATCCATAGGATTCAAAGGACTTATTTTAATGAGCATTGATAAAGATGGTGTTAAATAAATTCGTCGGTAAAGATGACATGGCTTTGGTTGAAGTGGATCTACTATCCAACAATTCCTAATTATTTGAGAGTAATATATAGTAACTTTTTTTAAATTAGAAATTTAAATGGAAATTTGTATTATAAATAAATGTGTTTATATGCTTACTTATCAATTTTTTTTAGATTTGACCAAGTTTCCTTAAGTATTTCTACTTGTAATTTAAATTTATTTCTTGCTATAGCTAGTGTTGATAAATTCTTTTCAAAGGGTCCAAAAGCAGGTATTTCAGGTAAATCTGAATAAATAACTGTCCATGGATATGTTCCATATTTTGTTCTTTGCAATTCCACAGCCACATTTTCCAAAGATAGCTTAATTGTATTTAAGCTATTGCCAGATAATATTTGAATTCCCTTTAACAATAATTTCAGCACTTAAGTATTATATTAAAATTAAGATTT